CTTTCCCTAGAGCTTCTGTTCTGTTCGTTTCATGAGGGGCATTCATAGCCAAGGGTTTCCACCTCCTCCTCCACAGTGAGTCTCGTAGCAGACGTCCCCTTTGTCTATCGTGGTATTAGATGTATCTCAGCCCCAGAAAGGGGGTGGAGAGAGAACCCACCTGGACACAGAGAGGAGATAAGCACCTGGGACACCAGCGCCACGATAGACGGCACTCCACAGATGCTTATGATGCAGCATATAACGGGATGAAGAAGCAGGTACTGACCCAGTCTGGGCGTGGGGAAGACTTCTTGGAGAAGATGAGAAAGCCAAGCCAGGCAATGGAGGAAGGGGACCCCAAGTGATGGGCAGAGCCTGAGCAGAGGTTTGGAGCAGGACCAGGTGGGATGCTGTGCAGGGGGAAGGCCAGGAAACTTGGGCTGTTCTAGCATCAGCTGTGCATCAGGGTGCAGTCAGAGAGAGCAGATGTGGACAGACGGCAAGTGAGAGGGATGAGGAATTCATGACCAGGTCCGTGACACTAGGAACCAAAGCCAACTCTGTGACCCTTGAACTATCTCAGGGTACCAGCTCCCTGTCTGAAACATGAGATTCAAAGGGGGCTGAGTTGTCTCTGTGGAGACAGATTTCTGTTTTGCTGTTTTCAGACACACCTGTGGGCTCCACCTCCCAGAAAATAGGGCTGGCTATCCAGCACAGCCCTTGCTAAGCTTCCGTCTGCCTGGACCAGGAACCTGCCATCCTTCATCTCACCGTGTTTGGGTCTGGCACACAGGGCGGAGGCTTAGCAAGTATATGTTGGATGAATAGATACACATGTAAATACTGAGTCCTGTGGAGCAGGGATCAGCAAAATGTTCCTGTAAAGAACCAGAGCGTAAATATCCTTGGCTGTCTGGACTATACAGTGTCTGTGGCAGCTACTCTGCTGTTGTAACTGGAAAGCAACCCTAGATAATGTGTATATGAATATATGAACTGGCTTGGCTGCGTTCCAATAAAACTTTGTTTGCCAAAACAGTCAGTGGGCCAGTGGGCTACCGCTTGCCAATCCCTGCCAATCCTCTGTAGAGAACTCCATGAGTAGTGAATTTTCTGTGTCCTTGTCCGTCTGAAATGTCTTTATGTTGGAATTTATAGATGACAGTTTGGCTGGGGATAGAATTTAGGTTGACAGCTGTATTCCCGCAGTTGCTTAAAGATGTTATGTCATTCTCTCCTGATGTCGGTTACTGCTGGGGAAAATCTTGTCTAAGACTGACTGCCCTTCCTGCCTTGGTAATTTGTCTTTTTTCTCTGGTGCTTTAGGAATTTTCTCCTTATCACTGATGGTCTGAAGTTTCAGTAGCAAGTGTCTAAGTGGGGATTTTTTTTTTTTTCCTCCAGTCTATACCAGTTAGTACTTGGTATAACTTTTCAATCTGAAGATCTCTACCCCCAACTCCTCTTTTAAAAGTTTCTGGAAGACGTTATGTTCTGTCCCCAATACTGCTGCTCTGCTGGTCTGTCTCTCTGGAGTGTCTATTAATAGAATTTCTTTAAAAAAAATCTATTTTTTATTGAAGCATAGTTGATTTATAACTGTGTTAGTTTTAGGTGTATAGCATGGTGATTCAGTTATACATTTTATATATATATATATATATATATATATATATATATATATATACACATATATATATGCT